TGTTTGGGAGGAGTCAAACTCAAATTTGAGAAGAACTCCTAATGGCTTGATCTGCTACAAAGAAAAAAGAGCCCCCAAAGCAAGGAAAGAAATGTGTGTGATGGAAGCCACTGAGAACTGCTTTTTTTGGTGGTGTGTATATTGTGTGCATGCACAAAATGATTCAGTTACTTTTCTGAAAAATAAGGAGATGGAGATGATGAGATTTGGCTCTGCTTACATGGGGGATCAAAGAATCTCAGTGAGTCAGACAAGGGGGATCAGAAAGGTTCACTTACTGTTCTTTTCTCCCCAAACATTTTACTAAACTTATGAAAAGGGAAAATGGTCGTACTCATTTATTAAGAGAACAAGGTTGGATGATTCACTGAGTTGATAATGGTAGAAGAAGTTGTGGGGATCATTTCTGGAAGCATTGAACTTGATGCTCCTGGTATCTCTCTGATAACTTTAGTTGGTAAATGTGAGAGTTTCTGTTTTTTCTCAGCTCCAAAATTGTTGAAAGTAGAAGCCTTTGTTTATGAAAGTTCTTACAACAGAGAACTGAATCATACAATTTACACTGAATTTATGGGTACTGTCTTCTTTACTCAGCTGTCTCTTGTCATGGGGAGAATGGGACGATGCCCAGATTTCAAAGGAGTCTTGTCTGTTCTTATGAATCTTGATGATAATTCACTTGCACATAGTGGTTGTTAAGTGTAGACCTGAAACACAGCTTTTAGTTCTTCTGCTTGGAAGGGATTTCTTTCCTTCTCACTATTCACCAGGTCTCTGTAGGTAGCTGACTGCTGTGATGGGCATGAGAACCTCCTTTAATTTAAAAACAGGAGCTGGGGAAAAGCTGGCTTTCTACTGAATGGTCCATTGCTCATTTTAATTGTTGATTTCATAGTTCCAGTATGGTAGCATCATGAAGTAAGATGGTTTTCTCTATATTGTTGATATTCTTAAAGTTCAAGATGAAAGCTGAGGAGATGTTGGCTAGTTTTTACCATGCCTCAGGGAAACTATGAGCCTTGGCATAGGGATCTAGAACTCTGTTGGTTGTAGTAGTCTCTGGTTAATCTTTGGTCAGAAAGTTGCCTTTGAAACCTTTAGAGCTAGGAGGAGCTTAAAAGTATAATACTAGATAATTGTTTTATCTCACACTACAAAAGTGGCTTAATAACTTCCTGAAGAAAAAAGGAAAAGTTGTGCATTTTTAATGAGATAAAACCCCCCAGCAGATGTTTGCATAGAGTCATAGAATCTGGAAAAGATCTTTCCAACTACTGACCTAATACTGCCAAGTCTGTCACTAAACTGTCCCTAAATTCTTCACATCACTGATTGTAATGGAGTAAATTTTTACACCTGTGTCATAAAGTATGCTGACAGTGGATTCTTGTATGTATTGTGCATACACATGACTATCTGATCCTGTCTGCAGAATACACACAATATATTGTTAATAAGATATTGTTCCAAGTTTGATAAGATACAAAAAAGAGGGGGGAAAAAGGTAAATCTGATGTGTTCTCTAGTTGCTGGAAAATATGTAAGAAAAAGTCAAGTTCTTCTCTGTAGGAAACAGCTGTAATGCAAAACATTGTCAAATTCAGCTCTAACATATTTTCATCCTGTTTATGGGTTCATCCTACATAGCAGTAAGGTAAACTGTAAAAATTACTGCATACTGGCTGCTGAAACTTCAAGTGCATTGGGAGAGCAGAGTTGATTGCTAACAAGTATTTAAATTCTATGTCAGCTGTGCAGGATAAACATTTCTGTGGCTTTTCTTGATGTAGTTGAACTTTAGATGAAATGCCATTTTCATGTGAGAATTTTTGTTCTATGTGTTTCAGAACAACAACTCCTTTACATCTATACACAATTCTTTATTACATCTCTACACAATTCTTTATTACATCTATTCACAATTCTTTATTACATCTTTAGGAAAGGCTTTTGTGTGACTATTTTTCACTATAAGGCCAGTTTTGGTCATGATAAGAAGTAGTTCTCAAAATTCTGCTCTTCTGGACCATTGTTGAATGACTTCTAGAGTAAAGGAGTACAGCTTTTAGAAAGGCTCAAAGGCATTTAATAAGGGATAATATTACAGATGCTTACAAATGGCTTCTTGAAAGTGTAGTGGGCACATATAACATTTATTTTCATTAGCTTTTTAATGCTTTGATTTATCTCCTTCAGCTTCTTATGTAATTCAGCTTTACTTTTAATTACCCAGTAATGGAGCAATCAATACAACCATAGAACTGTTGGTAATTTTAAGGTTGTTTCTGGTAATACTGTGAAGCTAAACTGGGGATAGTGCATTTAATTTTATCACCATATTTATGTGATCTTTGTATTTTGGGGATTTTGTTCAGAGTTTAGTAAAGCAGTACATGTGATGGGTGGGATGCAGGCCTACAGACACACTTGAGTTTGTTTCAGGCACTGTCTGACATGGAAGTCGGTCATAGATCAGATTTTGATTGTGTAACACTAACTTATTTGTAATCAGTGGGTAAATAGGGAGCTTCAAGCATGAATTCATTCATAAATTATGGACTGATTGATCAGTTTGTGGGCAGTCAAGATTATTGCTACTTAGTACAGAAGTTGATTTCTTATAGCTGTGTCTTTACCAATAAGAATAAATCATGGCACTGTTCAGAAGTGCACACTAAAAATGGAAAGTTCATTACATTTGCCAAAAGGGTAAAATGTATTGCAGAATATGCCAGCCCAAGGTAAATACTAAGTGTTACATTGCTTCTTGTGTCTTTTTAGCTGGGGAAAAAAAAAATCAACTGTGATTACTTTCAAAGAATGCAATGAAAGTCTTGTAGAAAACTGAACTTAAGTCGGGTATTTGGAAATTGACATGCTTACACTTTCTTCCCAGAACAGCTGCTCTTAGGTCACAGTTGTTTGACACCCACCTCTGGGCTTTGTAAAGATTTATGTGTTTGTAATAAGAGCTGATGCTGTGCTGCAGTGATCCAGAACGGCGGAACAGCAGCCTGCTTTCAGGCACGTGTCTTAATCTGTCAGATCTCTTTTCATGCACAGCTGATAGACTTGCTTATCTCGTTTAAAGCATGCAAACAAAAGTCCTGAAAATGTCTGACCCAGAAATTAGCTCTAACATTAGTAAGGTGCAGGATGTGGAAATGCCTGCTTTGGTTATTTCTGCTGTACTGGCTTGCGTATAATATGATACCTGAGCAGCTAAAGTTAGATCAATTAACATCACTAAAGCATTCTCATGTCCTTCCAAAATGTACATAACATTTTCTTTTAGCTCTTGTGAAAGCTTAAACAGGGTGTGTTTCTATAGACACGGGTGTGTTTCTATAGACACGGGTGTGTGGTGTCCTGCTGCACACGACAGGGTGTGATGCCAATGCCAAAGGCTGTGTGTCACCTGCAGGTCTCACTGCCATATCTGCCAGTGCCATGGGGATATCTCAGAGGCACACTTGTCAATATCACTTCAACTTTACAGTTTAAATGAGTTTAACATTGTGATTTTTACTTCTATGCAGAACAAAATACTGAGTGTTTTTAAAAAAATAGTTTAGTGAAAGCAAGACTTAAATGAGCACACTAGTGTGTTTCTGTAAAATCAGGTTGTGCTGAATTTTTGTTGCATACCACCTGAAAAAGTACTCATGCCAAGTTTTATTTTGCATGTTACACTATTCTTTCAGAAATAGCCTTCCATCTAGTTGCTGTGTCATACAAATACACGTATTTCAAATGATAAATAAGAAATAATCTGTATGTCTATAATGGTTCCGGTTTTGGTTTGTACTGGATTGCGTTAAAAAAACTGATTTCCCAGTGCTTTCTTCATTCATTTGTTGCACAGATTGCTTCTAGCCCAGTCAGATTTGTTTCTTTCCTGTTTATATTTGTTGGTCAGTCTGCTAAATGGATATGTATGGGCTGCATTTGACAGCACTAATCTTGTGTGGGGGTTCCTGTTCTGTGCCACCACTGAGTACATGTGTGCCCCTGTGCAGAGCTGTGCAAGGGTGTTCCTCCATCATCAGAGAAATCCCATTTCTTGGCCTCCCACACTTTTCTGGATGAGCATTATTTGAATGCTCTTCTTTATTTTGAAGGCTGGAGGGGAAAGGCAGTTTGCTGGTAAAAGGAAACATCTCCTGGCCTCTGGCTTCTCTTCTTACTTAATTGTTGTGCTGTTTGTCTCCTCTTCACAGCTGTTAGGTACTTTGATAGTGAGGTGGTCAAAAGAGAGGGTTGTGGCTTCTGAGAGTGGTATGTCCTGTTCCAGGACTAACTTCCCTTCTGTGCCCTGCAGGCTGAGGTTTGTAGGGAAAAGAGCACTCTTCTCACTGCCTGGCTTAAAGCTTTGAAAGAATGTGCACTCCTTCTTTTTATAAACTGAATGTTTGGGGATGTTTTTGGTTAATTTGCTTAAGAAGTTGTCTTTCTGTTTGTCATCCTTGTAGATGATGCTGTTTTTGAAAAACTCTTGTATGTTCAGGGTTTGTATTGGCTATAGTAAAATTACAGTGGAAGTGGCAAGAATATAACCTTTCATTTCATTTTCTTACACTCTTAATATGATTGTAGGTAGCCATAATATAGGAAGCATTTGTCCATTGCATGGGTTCTGACAGCTGTGGGAACAGGGAAAGCTCTCGTGTGTTCAGAGTTGGGTTTTTGAAGCAGGACCAGCAGCCTTTCATTTAACAGCATCCTGTGCATTAGTACAAGAGAATTCTGCTGTGTGCCTTTTATAAAAGTGCCATATGACTTAAATTTTAACACATTCTGCTGCTTTTTAGTATTGTAGTGTTCATGGAAAATGTGCTGTAAGACTAGAAACATGATTGTGTTATACAGTTAATTAAAAATAAAGGCAGATTTTTAATATGAGCTCAGTCAGTGCAATACATCAACAAAGACTTTTTTGTTGGCTGTCAAGTGAGAAAAACAGAAAAGACTCAAATTCTTTCTCTAATATTTCCTTCCAGTCTGACTCATCAGTAGAAATTGTGAAGAGCTGCAGAAGAGAAGCCAAACAGACAAGCTGATAACTCAAAGAAATACTCTTTTGAGTTTGGGGTTCAGAGTGGAGTCATCATGAGCGATGTTACCATTGTGAAGGAAGGCTGGGTACAGAAGAGGGGTAAGTTCTACCTTTGCATGGAAAGTGTTTTCTGATGTCTCCTACTCTGAGTGCAATGGTATTGCATGGTTACACAGATGAATGAGCTTGATTTATCTTCTGGTCTGGAGCAGATTGGTCAGATTCAGGCCTTGTTGGTACTGATGTGTAACCCTCAGCACTGCCCCTGTTTGTGGGGGTGGCTGGCAGTGCAGAGGAAGTTGGACTCAGTCATTCCCACTTCACCTTGGACCTTGTTGCTGCAGCTGCTGTTGTTACCTGTGCATCAGAATAAGCTGCCTGTTGTGGCAGCTGGAAGAGGCAGTAATAGAGGTGTGCACTCAAAGGCTGTCTGGAAGCTGCTGCAGATGCGATACTTTGTGGGAAATTTCCTAGATGCCAAAATCATTCAGTGGAGCTCAGCTTGTATTACAGATGCAAGTAGTCCCAGTAAAATCAACATAATACTTGCATAAAGCTCAGCATACACCTAATTACTCAGCAGACCTGGAAGCCATATGATTAAAGAATATGTTCTTAACTATAAGCCAGTATAAAATATGATTTTCTGTTATATTTGAATTTCTGTGAATTCTTGAGATGTCTCTTTAAATTGTTTCACCATGTGATTTGCAAATTTGGGGAGGTTGCTGTATGTTCAGCTTTGAATGTGAAACCTCTAGAAATATCTGGAATTCATATCATGTGATGAGCTTTGGATGAAATCTTCCATGCTTCATGCTGCTCTGCTTTAGGTTGTGGTTGCACACATGATTATTTTCAAAAGAATATAACTTCTCTCACAGAGAGGGGGGGATCTGGATTTTAGGGTGATTTATGCCATGAGTTTCTGTGATCCTAGCCCAGAAAGGTTAGACTGAAATAGTGGGAACAAAATTACCCTTTAATTTACAAAGAAATGCTTTGCTTCAATAGCAGTGTGTGAAGACAAAGATCATTATTAGCTTTGTTATTGCAGATTGACATTAAATGTCAGGGAAGGCAAGATAATGAGGGAAAAAGTTTATTATTCTTCTATTATTCCTGCATAAATTGTATTTCAGGAAGCATTATGGGTATTGTAAGTGAAAATGAGCTAAACCATGTTAAGCTTAAGGCCTACTTCCTATTTTGGAGTATATACCTGTATTTATAACAAATAATATTTTACATGACAGGAACTATTTAAATTTTGAAATTATTTTTCCTTTCCACCTTGTTGTTAGTTACTCAATTTGGAGATCTGATTTCCTTTTTTGATTATTTATTATAAATTTCTTTCAAATGTATTTGAATGGTTAGGATGCTCCAAATAATTTTATTTTACATGACATCAGTTCCTTCAGGTAATATTTCTCATTCTTATTACAACTGCTATCAACTCTGTGAGCACTGGATATGCCTATATTAATTACTGGGATCCAGAAATGGACACTGAAATTCAGCGTCTTACTTAATTTTTGAAATTCTGAAATGTTAAATAAAGGTTTTTTTTTTCTTACCCTGTTTTACTATCAATTAATTGAAGAAAAGCCCACCAAGTTGACATTTTGAGGTCAGTTTTGTTAATAATTGATTTCTTTTCCAATTAAAGGCATTTCATGGCATGCATTTTTCCTTATCATGAATAACTTTGAATTTATGGTTGTTTTTTTTTTTCTTCGTGCTAAACATAACTGTGTAGGTTTTAGTGGAAATTTTTTTAATTGCATCTAATACTGTCCTTAATTTTCTTTGTCTGGCTTGTTCTGGTTGTTGGTGTGTTAAAGTGTTTCTTTTGTTTGCTTCTGAAAACAAAAGGAAAAGCACGGTCGTGTTTCACAATGCTAAGATTTTGTAAGCATTTTATTCAATGGTTATACATTTCATATGTAATGACAACTTTTACTCTGACCTTGCTCTGGAGTGAGAAAATCAAAGTTGCTAAGTGCATTTGTTAAATTTTGCCAAGAAAAAGTATCCTATATCCTATAATCTATATTCTGAGAATCGCTCGGTAAACACTTATTTTGGCAGCTAAATATTCTCTGTCTGTGTAGAGAAGCATCGTGGGATTGGGTAAAGCTGTCTTGCTTCCACAAGTGATCATTTGTTACAGTTTGGAAGTGAATTCTTTGATCATCGACACTTGATTGGCATTGGCTCAGTTCACAGGCTGGTTTTGATAGGTACAAGCCGTGTTCTACTGGAGAAGGGCGAGTGTGGGATCTCTTCTCCAGGCAGACACTGAATGAATTCCAGCCCCAGTTACTGGTCCTTTGGACAGCCCTGAGCCAAGTGTATGGTGCAGCACAAATTTCTGAGACCCTAGACTGAATTTATCTAGAAATAAACATTGTAAACCCTTCCTGCTGGGAACTTAGGGGCTTGGGCTGCATCACTTGACTTGATGTGTTTCTGTTATGCTGAATTATTTGGTCATGTGACTATAGCCCTGGACCTCTTAAAATTGTCCCCTTCAGCACTCAGTATGGTTTGTGATACAAGGAAAGGGAAAAAAAATCCAACTTCTTTTTGTGATTCACAGCCCAGTCAGGAGTATGAGGATGACTTGAAGGTATTGGGATGAAAAATGGTTTTGAGGAGTTGTCTAATGAGATGGGCCATTACAAAGGCAAGTTAGGTGAACTCAATGTAGAAATGAGAGGGGAGGACTAAAAATAGAGCTGGGGATTGCTCTCTGAATTGAGACTCTGCTAGAGAGAGGCTAGGGAAGACAGGGTATGTTAGGGCACCATGAATGGCTGTGAAATGCAGTGAAAAGATGTTTGCTTTATTGTTATTCCTAGTGCTGTATCCATGTCAGTAATAGAGGGCTGAGGGCTATATGTTGGTGAGGTTTTAAGCCTGCTGTTGAGCACTAAAGCCATGTAGCCTCACATCTGATTCTTCAAAGACCTATTATTCTGTGTCTGCTTAAATGAGGCACCCATTAAAGTATTAATGTTTTACTGAAAGTCAAGAAATGGCAGAATTAAGTTTTTTTGAGACTGATCATACTTGGGCTTTGAGTAGACTTTAGGAGGAGCAGTTTCAGTGTGTTGAGACCAGATGATACTGTGGAAGAGTAAGCTGTTGTATATGAAAGGTAAAACAAGCAGAGATGACAGGCTGCAGGTGGGAACTTTGGGCAATAGAAGACACAAGACCCAGGGAGAAGCAGTGTCTGAGAAGCTTGGGGAACCTTGAGTCCCAGGTGAAAGGAGACCCTGAAGCACAGAGACTGGGTGTGCCTGAACAAGTAAAGCAGCCCAGCAAGAGCAGATTTGGAGAATGCAGTAATTGCTGATGGGGACTCGATACCTATCTACACTTAGTGCATTTGTAAAGTGAAGTGGGTGTTAATTTGGCCTGGCTTCTGTCTGTTTCTGTGCCCCTTTGGCAGTGGTAGTGCTCCTGGAGTACATTGTGTGGCTTTCAGTTTCATCTGAAAGGAACCAGGGTTGTGCACTGTGGGACTGCTTCAAGCAGCAGATGAAAGTGCATTAACTAGGGTGGTGGGAGGATTTGCTGCAAAAGCACTTTCCTTATCTGAACTGAAGTACTGATTCAGATCCCTGTGAGACACCAGAACCTGAACTAGTGGAGAGCCAGCAGAGCAGTCTCCTTAGAGAGGAGTCTGTGCTCAGGCGAGAGAGGAGTGGGAATGTGCATTGTAAGAATGGCTTTATGGTGGTAACTCCTGTCTTAGATCCAGGGACAAGCACCAAGCAGCTCATGGCCTGTGTCAGCTCATGTGGCTGCAAAGATATTTTTGCAGTTCACTGGCTCAGTGATAATTTTTATTTCTTTCAGTGTTCTCCAGTTATACCTGTAGCCAGATAAGGAGAGAGATGCATTGTCTTCCTTTATGAATTTACTTTTTAGATGACACTGACATTTTTCCTTGTAATGCATACAGATGAAAGGGAAGCAGTTTTGACTAAAAAGCTTAAATAGAGTGACCTGAACCTTGTTGCTGATACACAGAAATTAAATATTTGACATTATTGCAGTTTGTGTAAGCGCTCTGCAGTACTTGCTGAAATGACTTTGACATTTTGGATTTGCAGAGGACAATGTTTTGCAGAATATCTTTAAATTTATGTAAAAGTTAGTATCTTTAATTTTACTTAACATGATTTTACTGTATTTACTAAATTAAATTTAATGATTTGCAGAGAGGGATATGTTTTTAATTTATCAGTTTGGAAACAGATTTTTTTTTACATTATGAACATGCCTAGTGTGATTAGGGCTATATCATTGCAAAAGTGAGTTTTATGCATGTAATTAATGTGGTATTTTTTCTTTAAAGCCAGAGTTTTCTGAGTTGTAGACTTGACCTTGTCTGTGGTCTATAATAGTCACAACAATTAGATTTAAGAATCTTTCATAACTATGCTTAATTGCAACCTAATTTCTTTATATATAACCTGTGCACAGAATTTCAATTAATTTAAACATATGAAAAGAGTTAAGAGTCTCTGTTACCATGTTATTGAAAGATCATTAGGGACAAAGAGAGAATTGACACAGATGCTAACTTTTTAAAGGACCCAGTTTTATATTTAACATGTCAGCTAACTTTGTCTTTAATTGAAAGAGCAAGGCTTTGGTTTTGGTGAGGATGCACCTAGTGTGTAAGGCACAGCACATGGCTAAATCATTGTTTAAAGTCAAAGCAATGTGTTGTCAGTTTAAGTTAGCACTTGTGCTGCCACACTGGCCTCTGTTTGGGCTTTGTGCTGGTGTGGTGCATTGGGTGATGCAGCTTCCCATGGCAATCTCCACGTGACTCACATGGGACATGGACCAGCATTCCAGTTTTGTTTTTCAGAGGGAACCAGAGTCCAAAATTGTTGTGTCTTAGCTGTAATAACTTAAGAAGTTTGATGTAATGAGATGGTGGTAAAAAACCAGATGTCATGAAGCTTTCCTGTAATGAGATTGTCCTGTAAATAGTGTATCATTGAAATACTGTAATAAGATTTTTCACTCAATGTTATTCTTTTTTTTTTCTTCTTTTTAAAAATGCCTTT